CATATTTGACTGTGTTTTGGTAACTGGTCTGCATTGCTAATGATCAACTAATTAATATTAATGCTAATGGGCAGCTTTAGATGTAATTATTATTGCCTTCCTCTGCTACATTTACATTCTGGAACTACAGTTACGAGAAGGCGCACAATTCTTCTTTAAAAGGATTTATTTGTAGGCTTTTTTATGGCCTTGTATTTTGATAGGAACAGCTGTAAGACAGACAGGTGAAAGGGGGGGCAGAGCGAGAGAAGACGGGGCATGACACGCAGCAAAGTGGCCACAGGGTCGTGGAATTCGAACCCTGGGGGCCCGCTGCGCAAGGGACTCAGCCTCAGTCATTGGTTTGCCAGCTCTCCCACTGAACTTAAGCCGCGGCAACCTAAAGGCCAGCATTCACTGTTATAACATAATACAAAGTCACTTGTGGGTGTTTCATCCTCAGCTTCACTCCACATAAGCACCTATTGTAAGGTTGCTTATAATAAACCTTTAACTTTAACCCACCTATTTCTGTACCATTAATTACATTACGTGCTGGCCAGAACACCCAATCCCACTAGCTTGCCTCTTGGGTCAGTGAGGACAATGAGGAGGACAATCTTAGGAGTCCCTTTGGCAGGCAAGCCTCCTGCTTTGGTGGGGGAGGACTCTCCCTGGAAAGGCCATTCGGCTGGGCTAATGCTCTGTAGACCGGTCGATTCCTGCTGTTCATGTGGGGCTGTCTTAGTTAACATACATAGCCGCTCTTTCTAGGTTGACCAACTCAACGCATATATACAACACATTCATGTGCTAACCTGAAGGCTAATTGCAAGTTAATTGGTCCTATGTTTTAAAGGAGTGGTTAACAAACTGAGCATGCACACATATAGAAAATATACTAACAGTAATGCCAGGGGAACAGAACACTGACGGGAGAATCCATAAAGATCCAGCTTCAACAGATGGATCTTACAGGATACATTTACATTTTTTTGGGGGGCTTTCTATTGCCTTTATTATATAGAGACCAGCTGAAGGGACGACAAGAAAAGGGTAGAAAGAGGGGATGACACGCAGCAAAGGGAACGCAGGCTCTGGATCGAACCCTTGCGGCCGCTGGGCAGCACGGACTCGTGCCTCGATAATGGGTCGGGCCAGGCCTATACCCATGAAGCATAAACCGGGTGCCCAGGGATGCACCAATCAAAATATATTCTATTTTTAGAATAAAGCGATTTTGATGCAATGCATTGTTTGATTTTCATTTTCAAACTTTAAAAAAAAATTAAACACCAACAAACACTTTTCATGGGGGAAGGGGAAATTCAGAGTCAAGTATAAATGGGAAATAAATTCACAGAATGGCGAAAAGCATCCAAATAAACTAGAACATTTGCATTTCCTGAAAATGTTTGTGTGATTTGCTGCATCTGGCTGCTGCCCCTGCTACGCTGCTTGCAGGCACAGGCTTCTGAAAGGTTAGTTTCCATTCACATCTGGATATACCACCCAAAATAATAACTGTGACTTCCAAAAGGGTAAGTCAAAAAACATATGGAGAAGAAAAAGATCATAAGCAAAATAAGACTTGCAGCAATCACACAAATTACTGGGTCAAATTAGTTGAACTTCACTAAAACTTCTGAAATAAAGTTAATAACAATAATATCTTATTGTTTACTATTATATGGTGATTCAACAGAACAGACTTTGACAGAGAAATTATCCTATTTTTATAAGTAATAAATAGTGTATTTCACTTTACACTTTTTGTCAGGAACAAAGTCATCAGAACAGCAGTGGAGGGACACAGAAGGACCAAGAGCTGCACTCAACAGTAGAGAGATGCTGCAAGCGGCACACCAACTTTAATTGATTCCTGTTCCCCAATTCATTCTCATGGTTTTTTTTCACTTTTTCAGATGATAGTCCGTTCTTCCTCTCATCAAGTTGCTCAAACATTGCTCACCCGGCTCTGCACATAGAGAGGGGAGGCAAGGCTCTTGCAAATATTCGCCGGGCCCTATGCAGATTGTGTAATGGTAAATGGTAAATGGACCTGTACTTGTATAGCGCCTTTCTAGTCTTCCGATTTCGTTGTCATTAATTATATAGTGCTCATTTTACATTGTATACATGCCAACGGGTTTCTAACGGCTTATTCACCCTTACAATACCTAGTCTTCTCTCTGGGGTTGTGTATGGGCAAAGGTTCGCGTGGTCGCATGCCAAGGAACACACATTATTCAGTGAAACATTGTTCGGAGTAAGGCTCCATTTGCTGTTGCATCCTTCAGGGTAGCAATGTTCTTTGGTTGGGTTTGCAGGAGTAGTTGGCTTGCTCTCTTTTAGAGAAGGTCATTTTTGGGTTGGCGTGGTCTTAGGATTGAGCGCGTGGGATTGATTGTCACTACAACCTTTCCTCTGAATGGTATTTGTTTATTGGTTTCGTGGAGACGAGGCTCTGCGCTCTGAGCCACAGGTGACCGCCCTGTAGTAGTTCGTATAGTTTGTGGCATGACCATAGGATGATAATCGCTCTATCGATAGTGGTGTCTATAAATGGAAATTTCGGGTAGGTTCCATTAATATTTGTGTCAGGTATGGTGTGGAGGTGCATGAATAAGGAGTTAGTTGTGGGGTTATGTGTTATTGCTTTATATGTTGAATGTCTGGTGCATTCTTATTGTGTAATATCCAGGCTGTCATTCAATAACTAAATCCTATTAGATAAATGATGATAGTTATTTCTGAATTCTCTCTCCGTCTATCTTTTCTTAAAATTATTACACAGAAATGAAACTACATTGTTGCCACTCTATAAAAGCAATGTAACAAATACAGTCAATAATGCAAACTTACACAGCATGAAACACACTGTACTGTGTTCACTTAGCTTCACTTCAGTTACTGTAGACCTAATAAAGCTATTACCAGGTTGTGTGTGAGTAAAAGCATGGTAGCTTCTTCAAAAGAACCCCAACAAAATGTGATCCAAACAGTGAGCACACTGCTGGCAGTGCTCAAAAATAAAGACATTGTAATATAGAAAACATTTACTGACCGTTTGCATTCACTCAATAAAGTTGTTGTTTTCTGGTCAGCAGCGCAACGTCTGGTCTAAAGTGCTGCCCATTAGGAACACTAGTTTAATATGCTTAAGCTTACAAAATATTACTAATATTAAAAAAGAATAACACATCATGTGCTAGTTGCAGCTGAAAACATATCTGCCTTCACGCTCACACATCTTCCTCACATCTTGTAGTTTGGAGTTGCATAACAAACAGAACACAGCTGTTCCTTCATGTTTACATCCCAGTGATGGGAAGTTGTAATGAGGCTAAACAAAGTCCAAGGTTTTACAATGTGACCTTTGGCCCCCAAGGTGCCTTTAATTATTAGTGTATTTTTCTGGAGGTCTATTGGCCTCGAGGCTCCAGCCAGGCACCCTTAAAGGGGCTCCCCGGGCCCCGTGGAGGGCTCCAGGGCCGCTGCATTCATCTCTGCAAATCTCTGGGTGTGGCGGAGAACCAGGGCGGTTAAGGGGAGGAACTGAAAAATGTATCCGACTTTAGAGCATGTTCCTTACGTATTGTTCATTCTGCTTAAAAAAGTTACAATATTTCATTTGGTTTTTTCCCTCCTTTCCTATTAGTGATTATCATTTCATATTTTGAAATATATAAGTGTTCTGTGGCAGCGTTAGGACTGTAAGCTTTTCTTGAAGAACAGCAACTTCCAAATAAATGTAAAAGTTCAAATTTATTTACACTATTTCACGGAGAGAATTAAAATACAGGCAAAACATTAAAAAAGAAAACAACTGATTAAAACATTACAAAAGATTTACAGTGACAGTCAAATTATGCTATTAAATACAGTTACACCATTCTCACCAAATAAAGATTTCAGTGTAAGAGGACAACAATAAGCAGGCCGTAGGATCCCTGGCATTTAACATCTGAGCCAGATTTAATTGTTTTATCAATCAAATAAAAGACTTGTGTATAATCTGTGTTCTGCTAACCAGGATACATGAAACATGAGAGCAAATATGTGGCAACAAAGAACTCAATGAAGAAAAGTGGATTTTTTAGTTAGGAGAAAATACGGGATAGAATATCATCTAAAACACATATACTAAATTATGATTAGTGACAGCAAGATTATTACACAGTGTTATAGTAGTCCACTTTAGGAGACCAACCTGTGTGATAAAGAGTGCACAAAACACAAAACAAACAGTGCACTGGCCACCTGTATGTTAATATACACAAACAACCTTCCTGACAGATTAAAAAAAATTAATGATTAATCCCCCAATCATTCACGTTCATGCATAAAGTATAAAAAGAGTATCTACACGCACACACACACACACACACACACCTTGCCTGTCATCACATGAGTGAGCAGCTGGTCTTTGTGGAGGTGGTCCAGCGCAGCCAGCTCAGTTTATTGTCACTGTAAGGTGGGTAACGCAGGCCGTTGAGTCTCTCTAAAGCCCAGCCGCGCAGCATGCAGGCCCGCCGGTGGCTAAATTCCTCAAAGCCCCAACGGCCGTGGTAACTGCCCCAACCACTGGCCCCTGGAAGGAGTGGTACAAACCATTACACCAGAAAATATGTATGCAATGGTGGAGTGGGAAAATGTTCTTGTCTCAGTCTTCATGATAGAAATCAGGCAACAAATTACTTTTAAAGGCCACATTTTCTCTCTGACCTGACTTTAAAAACTCAATACAGTTCAGTAGTAATAGAGTTTGTAATCATTTTATATATAGCAACATCCTAAAATAAAGTGTTAGCCAATTAAGTTTCCAGAAATAGTCAGACTCAACATGCGTGTACGTTTTAAAATTGCCATCATTCATTTGTGTTGTTCCTTTTGTGTCTTAAAGAGCTGAGATAATCATTCATACCAGGAGGTGGCAGTATAGTCAAAGTGACTGTGAACCAGAGTTTCAACCACAATATATAAAGTTAATATAAAGTGCAAATTTCTGCATCCACTCCCAGTCCAACTATGCAGACACCCAGTGTTCTATATACAGAACCGCATACACATCTGCTGTTTTGGAGTAAATCAAGCTGAATGTGGCTTTCCCAGGATCCGGTGATTTGGCCTTTGTTCTTTCTAAGATTAATCAATTGGTGCAATTCCAATCTCAAATATGAAACACTGTTTCTGTTGATAATTAATTAGTAAACTGAGAAGTCTGTCTAAGTTTCCCTTTAGATCTAAAAAGTATAGCTTTCCAAATACTCACAGTCTGCAGAGCCTGGCAAAGAGTCTTCATGAGACACTGGTAAAGCACAATCATGAGGGCTGTATAATCACATGTGTGAGAAAGGGACAAGGGTCACACCTACCTACACCTCCAAAAGGCAGGCTTGGCAGGGTCATGTGGATGATCCCGTCATTTGAGCAGAAGCCTCCACTGCTGGTCTTTTCCAGCACCGTGTTTACCACCTTAACAAAGGGACGACAGTGTGATGTAAAATATACGACAATATCTCTACGTGTATGGTGAGGGAGGTTGCAGAGTTCTGTGTTCTTACAGAGGATTCGTCAGAGAAAACATAAAGGGCCAGTGGCTTCTCTTTGCGGTTGATCAACTCGATGCCTTTCTCCAGAGACTCCACAGTGAGGATGGGCAGGATGGGGCCAAAAATCTCCTCCTGCATTAACGCATCGTCTTCAGCCACATCCACCACCACTGTGGGAGCTGAGGAGAGCACAATGACAGAAACATCAACCACATTAAGAAATGATTTACTTCAATGTGGATGATGCAGAAACCTTTTTTCACAAAACACTGAAATTGTGGGAGACTAAAAGGTATCGTCACTTTGGAAGATTGTATGTATATTAACAAGCAATCGGACTCATTCACTCAGCCAAAAAACTAGTTCTTTCTTCCAAAAACAAATTTCTTTTAACAATAGCAGATTAGAAATCATGTCCGTCAGATTGATGTAAATCTGCGGAAGGCTCTCTGACCTATCTTTTCTGGCTATGCCCTAACTCTATCATTTTTGGTGTGACATATTTAAGTGGTTTTCTGACATGTACGACTGTGTTTGAACCTGATCTGGAGAGAGAACCATCTGGGCTTTTTCTTTCCCTACTAAGCCAGTGTTTCCGTGCAAAGCACTGTCATGTACGGAATGATAATCACAAAGACGAGTAGATACTGTGCCTCAGTTAAAGACCTGGTTAACATGTTTGATGCTCTTTTGTTCACACTCCTGCTTCTTCACCCACCTATGTACTTGTCCTCCTGGTTGCTCTCTCCTCCCACGACAACCTTGCCACTGGACCTCCCGAGTAGATCCATCAGTCGAGTCCAGTGTCGGGGTGACACGATGCGGGAGAGGTCAGGACACGTCTGAGGCTCCTTGCTGTAGAAATCCTCCAAGGCCTCACGCAGTGCAGGCAGCAGGGCGTCCCGGGCGGCCGGTGAGCACAGCACATAGTCCGGAGCCACGCAGCTCTGGCCGGCGTTAAAAAACTTGGCCCACGCCAAGCGGCGAGCAGCGACTTCGATGTTTACCCGACCATATATGAAGCACGGACACTTCCCGCCCAGCTCCAAGGTCACTGGGGTCAAGTGGACTGAGGCTGCCTGCAGGATGCTGCGTGCCACAGTCTGTGAACCTAAAAGACAGAGCTGAAAGTTCAGTTCAATTTCAATTGAGGACAACTCTTCAAAAACTCCTTGCGTGTGTACACATACCTGGACCATAGAGCTGATTCTGAAGATAAAATGATCTTATGGTCTTGCCACCATTGTGTACAATGGACAATATACAAGTATCTACAACTGAAATACTGTGACATGATCAGATCCATCCTGGAAGCTTTTACCTGTGTAGAAGATTCGGTCAAAGCGATTCTGCAGAAGTGCCTCGGTCTCTTCTGCTCCACCACGAATAACTGCATAACAGTCCTGCCACAACGAAAGCCCCATCTTACTGCAAGTGTCAGATTCACTATGCCAAGCTCCAGCTTATCACATATATAAAATCAGTATTGTCACACATGCCATTGGAGTACAATAACATATTGTGGAGGTCATTAGAAACCATTACACCATTACACAGTTAACTTTGGATTGTAACAACAATTTAACATGAAACAAAAAGTAAAAAGACTACTTCAAAATCTTTTTTAACTCCAGAGTTGCTTTACCTGAGACAAATATTTGGGGATGAGCTCTGCTATCAGACTGTCCGTGGCAGCACTGACCTCTGAAGGCTTGATGACCACACAGTTTCCTAGTCAAAAGGTACCGACATCATCCAGTCAGTTAAGACAGCAGTGACTGATTTGACAAAAGTTATGTTTGCACATGATTTTATGGTCATTTATTGCTGTTTTAATCCCAAATCTCCTTAGCCCTCTAACCTCACTTTGTCCTATAGGCCAGAACACTTTTAATAAGGTTTTGTGGAGACAGCCTGACTATTTTGAACTGGAACAGAGGTTAAGGAATTCATTCTTGCATCAAATGTAGCTGCGTATTCCAAAGTGACTTCAAGTAGAGTTACATTTTTGTTTTGTTGTAATGTCCTTACAAGGATAGATCAAGATGCTCATATCTGAGGATCTGACACATAGGAGTCAGCTCAGTTATCTGCTCAGTTTAAGTAGATAGCTTGTGAATGCAGTTTACCAGGAAGCCTTAAAATGTACTCTAGCGAACTTCCCTCTGTCCAAAACAACTAATCTCTGTCTTCATATTATATTTTTGAGATAAAGTCAGACTGTACCACTTTAACTTAAAGCAGCACCAATAAATACTTTTATATTAAGAATGGAACACTTGTATATGAAAGGAGTCGATTGTAGTGACGAATCCACAAAGAATTATCCCCACCTCTGCAATCCCCCTCAGCTGTGCAGAGCGTTATAGCCGTTTTGGTTTTACTGCCCACAACTTTAAAACGTTTTGGTTCACTGTCACTACTCTCATAGTGTTCTGCCTGCAGTTGTTTTCAGTGAAAAGCTCCAAAGATCCACTATACACTATGTGCTCAGCAACAAACAGCAGACAGACAAAGTTAGAGACTAGCTATTTCCCTGAGTTGGTGGGTTTCCGCTGCCCATTGGTTGCCAAAAACTTTGCAGGTTTAAAGCTATAGTCATTTCTTTATTCATTTTTTGGCCACTTGGCAGCAAAAGCTGTTCTGGCTAACATGTTTGCAAACAGGCACCCATTGACACAACCAGAATACACAGCAACATTATCATCCAATTGGAGTTGTGTTTCTTTCTGCCCACCTCTGTCTTTACCAACTCTTCTTCTTCACCATCTGTAGATCTTTTTGTGCTTTTTATTTTTTGATCTTTTGTTATATTATATATTTTGTCATTTTCTAATATTGGAAATGAGATGTTTTTTTCACATTGTTGCTGTATTTTGTGGCAGAGTGTAAAGTGGGAGTTTCATGAAAGAAGAAAAAAAAGTGTATGTGTGAAGGTTGATGAGAGTGAGTTTGAAAAGAACATGGAAAACAAAAAAAAAAAAAGAGTAAAAGGGATAAAAA